GACGCGCTGCAGCCCGGGTCGAATTCTGGCCAAAAACACGGAACAAGTTACATAAATGGGCCTAACCTAACCCCCGCGCGCCCAAGGGGCTCTTTTAGTGGCCATTTTCCGTGTTTCGGGCCAATAGCCGACCCGGGCTGCAGCGCGTCGAGGAGGTGGACTTGACCCGACCTGAACGCATGCAATTCGGGAGACCAAGACTCGTAAAGCAGGACCGAGTTGTGAAGTCTCAGCGTTCAGTGGTGCCGACAGCCGAGTGGCTAGCGCGCTGGGGTGTGGTCTGGAAACTCTCGGCTCAGGGAACGAGTCCCGATCGGGGCGAATATTTTTTTTCGGTGGGGGGGGGGAGCTGCTGAGTAGGCGATCAAGTCCACCTCCCCATGTCGGCTGGTCTTTTGTCCTAACCGTTGGTCCCCCCCGCAAACTACTATAAAATTGTTGGTCGCGGAAGCTCGGCTATCTCCGCTTCCCGAATTTCCAGAAACTCGGTCCATCCCCCGCACAACAGCCAACCCCAACGGCTTCTAGATCCTCTGAATGACGTCAGAGTACCCGTGCGCAGGAAACTGGTTACGCACCGGTCGGGATTCGAACCCGAGCCGGACCCGGCTTACTATCCAGCCACCACGCACGGAGACCACTGAGCTACCACGACAAGTGACAGGAGCAGTGCTCACTACGGAACCGATTCCTCGCACGGGACGATAGAGAAACGGAATTCCGAGAGTACGAAGCCGCTCGCGGCGGTGCTTCGAGTTCGAGTCCCGGCCGCGGCATGAGATGTGTTCTGTTCATCCCAACGCGCGATAAGGTTGCACCAGGCTGTGCCCGACTCACTCGAGCAGAGGAGGACGTAGCCGCATACGTACTGATCTAGGTCCCGCATCACGTAAGACCAGAAGAAGCGAAAAAAAAAATCTGCCTTGGGCGGGGGCGGGAGTCGATCCCCATGCTGGCTCGTACACAAAGAGAGACAAGAAGCGACAATTTTTTTTGGCCTAGTTTTGATTCGAATGAAGATGCGTGAGGGCAAGTCCGCTGTGGCTGATGCCGGCTGCAAGTCCCTGGCCAGCAAAGCGCGAAAAATGTTCGACGGACGGTATTTGAACCAGCTCCCATCCGCCTCCCGAGCACGAGCTCTGCCAATTTGGCCACGGAGAGACGTACCCCTTAAGCCGAGCCGGGACGGTAACCACTAAGTTGCGTTGGAACTCCACATTGACGACCTGGTGGAATGACTCGGTGGTCGAAGGTTCGAATCTACGTCGCAGGTTTGAATACTACGGTCCGAGGACAATTTCCTCCGCTCTGCTGGTCATGGCTTTGCTCTGTGGTGCCTTCAGCGTAGCAGATCACGGGAGCAGAATTTTGCATTTTGGCCCCGTGGTTAATTGTCTAAGGGGTCGTCTAGCCCGTCCGTTTTCTCAGATTCATTTCTGAGAGCTTGGCGCCTGTGGGACTAAGGGTAGGCCAGCCCGCAGTACACGCATGCACTGCAGGCAAGATATTGCCTACCTATCAGGCGCTATGGGAGCTTGAGGATGCTGAACTTCGAAAAGGCGAAGGACGGGCGTATATTGTGGTTAATGCTTAAGCTATGGTTGGGTTGAGTGCTTGCAATCAATGTGGATGGTCGTAGGTTCGAATACCGGCCGTGGATCATTTTCCCCATAAAAGGACGTAAGAAACGTTGGGTCTTAGTCCCTGTCACACTCAGTGTTGTGTTGAGTAGTAGCCCCTGTCTGTGGCCTGGGGCAGTTATGGTGGATTAAGTCTCGGGTGACCCGTTGCAAGAATTCACTGTTCTTCAAATGCTGTGACGCCACAGTCTATATTATGTCACATTCAAGGTTTAGAGTGATTCCAAAAGAGTACTGAAGTTTACTTCTTGTTCTTAAATATATTTCCTTTTTACATAAATACATATATTACATATTTGTATAATATTGAGTTCAAAAAGGGGACAACATCTTTACAGGAAAAGAGAAAATGTTTATCAGATGAGAGTGTTTATAATTCTTGCACAACAATCCTTAAGTTTTAGAGCATTCTTAACAATCATTACTTCACTCATGGAAGACTTAACCATCTTTTCATATGGAATACTTGGCCATCAAAATGACCTTTCAGAATAACACCACTCTTGCTACTTAGAACAATGAGCTGGCACATAAAATCACACAATTCCACATAACTCCAAGCTGCACCTGGTCTCATTTGGTATCACTGGGGTATTACCAACACTTTAAAATGCAATTTAAATAGGTATTCCAAAAAAGCTGCTAGAGCCATTCAAACAATGAGATATTGACAGAGATGAACAATTTATTGTGTTGTCTCCAAGTCAGACCAGATTCGAAAATAATCCCCCCCCCCCCTATAAACAGTTATTTGGTAATACTATTGTTGTGTATAAATCTTACTCACTTATGATATGACTGATAATAGTTCTAAACAAAATTTTATAAATGCTGATAGTAAGTAACTATATCCTTCAGCATACCCTATTTAGATAAAGAAAGTACAAAGATATAGCTGTTGATACAATGCTTTGAATTTTTAAATTGGTCTCTTACAACTTGATGGGGAAAGACATAAACAAGTAAGAGCTTAAAAAAGTATAATAACTTGAAAACCAACAGTTGCACATCAAGTAAAGGAGATTGTTTCAGCATTCAGTCTTCCATACTTTATATATTGATATAGATGTAGATTTTTCTTAAAAACTGACATAAGACAGGTTTACTGCACATTTTTTAAAGAGGAGAACACAATGATGTGATTGAAATTAAAATATCCACGCTAGCATAAGCTAGACTGATAGTAACCAAATGAGGAATTATTTGAAAAATTTACACCGACTGATCGAGAGATCTGCCCTCAAACATCATCAATCCTGTGAAAGGAATGAACTAGATATAGCTCCACTCATATAACTATGATCTAAAATTCCAAAAGTTCACACACTTTTGATGTACAATTCCATGAGCTCAGCTCAATCAAAAACAAAATGTAATTAACAAGATCTTAAATACAATTTAAATAGATACGAATAATATCCATATAAACACTAAATAATATACATAATTTAAAATGACAGCAAGTACTGCAATGCAGAGAAGTGCACCTCACATGCCAATAATAAAAGCTGCAACACAGTCTAATAGAAACAAAACAATAATTGATTTATCTAGACTAACCAGAAATACCACAGAGTTAACAGCATTCTTTGAACAAAACATTCATCAAGAAATATATTCAACAAATAATAGTAAGTAACAATAATCACCATTACTTAATAATATCCAAAATAATAATTATAATAGTAAATTTTGCTATCAATGACACTACATATCTTCCTTTGGTGTGCAGGCTTCTCCTAATCTATAAACAAAGACGAGAAAACATAAAAAATTAGAAACTGATATAAGAGAGATTTTCATGTGAACATTAGGATGTTGACATCTGAACTGTGCAAACAGTTGCCATACCTCGGGCTTAAATCAAACATCGAAGTCCTTTCCTGTCGAGGACTACGATCACATAATGATGATCTCTTGCTAGAATTTGCTGTAGAAAGGCGACCAGACCCCATGTTGTGGTTGGCCAGGAATGTTTCGATAGATTCATCAGATCCTTCAGAATCGTTATCACTGTGAAAGCACACACAAGCATGCAAATTATGGAAGTATGCAGGGGGAAAATGGTTGATATGGGGTCATCACAAAAATTCGGGTGTGATTAATTAAAATCAATTGAAGAGTAAGGTATGAAGAAGCCGGATATGCATTATAGAAATACAGATAGGTTATAAGTAATCCGATATAGGTGGCAAAAAGTCACAAAAAGAAATTCGGGGAGGGGGGGGGCAATAAAATAAAACAACCTTGTGTACTGAAATGAACTTACTTGTCACTGTTATCACTAACGGAGCTATCGTCGTCCAGCTCCAGATCTCCCTGGATGGCTTGCTGCAGGTCGTCGATGCGCTGCAGGGCCACCTTGAGGTCGGCCCGAGCCGAGCTGGCCTCCCCCTCCGCAGCCTCCAGCCGCTTCTCCAGCGCCTTGCGCTTCTCCAGCGCCTCGGAGTCGCGCGCGCCCAGTGCCGTGTACTCCTCGCGGACTTCACGCAGTGATCTGAGAAAAGAGAGTACAGGGTTAAATCCTCAGAAAAAAGAATAAAACAGAAAAAAAATCAAGAGAATAAATCAATT